TCTGTATTTCCAGGAATGACACATGGAATCATGCTGCAAAACTGGTCCAGTGAAGAAACTTCAGCAGCCACCACTGTGCACTGAATTGCATCACAGTTTGCACAATTGACAGAAGTGGATGTGGCTACTTTGTAATTGATGCCATGGCTGCTGCTGCTATTGCCATCCTTCTCCAGAATGTTTTCTCTGCAGTCACTGCTTTGTTGCATTATTAGTCCCATATTCAAAATTTAGGTGAGTATATCATTGGTGTTGTGTTAGGTCATATGCCCAACTCTAGCTGCAAGAGAGGCTGGGAAAGCAGGTTCTCTCTGTAAGGTAGGCATTCTCAAATCCAAAGATGCAAGTTGTTTATGTCAGTACTTCCTGAACTTTAATGTGCTTCTAAACCAACTGGAGGTCTTGTTGAAATGCAGATTCTGATGCATTAAGTCTAGAAGAGGGGCCTGAGATTCCATAGCCCCCAGGTGATGCAAAGTTGCTGGTCTGGACCACACAGAGTAGCAAAGCTCTATAGCAAAGAGTTTTAAGTTTGGTTGTGTATTGGAGTAATCTAAGAAGCATTAAACACACACACACACACACACACACACAACAACAACACCAATGTCTGGGTTTCAGCTGATTTAATTAGTCTGGAAATACAAACTTTTAAAAGCCTCCAGATGATTCCAGATAGCATTTTTCAAAGCAGGCTACAATTTCTTGTCACTTTGCAAAATTATTTTTTTCTCCAGATTCCCAGACTTCCATTTTGTGAGCCTTGCTTATTAGTTTCCCCCTTAAAATTCAATTACTCTCATTTATTATGCAGGAAACTTGACACTCCACCTCCCTCATGCCTTGGACCTAACTTTGCATTTCCAAAGACCAGATAAAGAGTTCTCCTAATCCAGAATTTTCCAAAAGTATGCTGCTACCTGTTGCCCTGAGAGTGTGATCTAAAGAGAACCACAGATAAGTATTATTTTAAATTTTAATACTTATATATTTATTTTAATGTGCATTGTTAAAAAAATGTAACCAACACAATAAATGTGATTTCATAAATATTATTAAGTAGAAAAACATTGAGTCAGTTTTTTAAAAATTAGGTAAATAATAATGTAGAGATTTTAGAGCAGATACAACAAAAATCATGAAAATGGTTTGCAATTAAATGAAGTTTAAGAGTGCTTTCCTGATTGTAAGTTTTTTATCCAAAATCCCAGGCTTTAGGAGTACAATAGAACTGTCGAAGGAAATTTTAAAAAAGCTATTTTTTTTCTCCCTGTCCTATCAACCTCGAAAGCAGTGATTTTCAACCTTTTTCATATCAGGGCACACATTAACTAATTACTAAAATTTTGCGGTGCACCAAAAAATATATATTTTGCCAATGTGACAAAAAATAGGTATAATTTTGATTCATTCACTCCAGACAGCTATTGTTGTATTGGCTGTAGTCATTTTTAAATTTTGACAATCTAAGGGAAAAGAGGTCAGTTCCCCTTACTAAATAGTCAGGTATTGCATGTTTTAAAAATTCTTGTGGCACATCAGTTGAAAATCGCTGTTCTAAAGGATGAGGAATTTTAAAAGAATAAAAAAAAAAAGGATGAGGAAGCATTATCTGAGATTTATTTTTGAATTTATATGAATGATGCTACCAAGTCAACACACTGAAATGATTACAAACAATTGTGATCTTAAATAACACTTCTTGTTTCTCTATTAAATGAAGATTTCTCAAATTGCAAGAAAATACCACCAACCTTTGAAAAAGTCATGATCTAAACAAAAATGACTATAAGAACTGCTTATGGAATATGAAATATAAAAACTAGGTTAAATTCCTTAACCAATTAATCTTTGACAAAAAAAAAAGGGGGGGGGGGCCTAACCGGTTTGGCTCAGTGGATGGAGCGTCAGCCTGCAGATTCTGGACAAGGGCATGTACCTTGGTTGCGGGCACATACCCAGCAGTGAGTGTGCAGGAGGCAGCTGATCGATGTTTCTTTGTCATCAATGTTTCTAACTTTCTATCCCCCTCCCTTCCTCTCTGTAAAAAAATCAATAAAATATATATTTTTTAAAAATGGGTCAAATATTTTAAGTTATTGAAAGCTAACCAACAAATCCAGAGAGCTCAAAAACTCATAAGAAGAGAAATTTTAAAAACTCCACACCCAGTCACATCATTGTGAAATTTCAAAACACCAAAGAAAAACAGATCATAACCAGCAATTAGATTGACAGCAGATTTCTTAGTATCAACAGAAACCAGAAGAAAGTAGAATATGTTCACTATTCTGAGACCAAAAAAAGACAACTGTGAATGTAGAATCATACTATATCTAGTAAAATTATCTTCATGAAAAAGAGCAAAATGAAAGAATTTCAGGTAGAAAAAAATCTGAGAACTTACCATTCTCATGAAAGAAAATTCCATAGAATTTACTTCAGGCACAAATACTCCGAAGAACAAACTGAGATATGCAAAAAAATTGGTACGCAAACCATTTTTATACATGTGGGAGGGTCTAAAAAACATGTCTAATTTATAGGAGGAAAACATGATAGAATTAAAATAGTGAATAATAATCCTATATAATAAAAGCCTAATATGCAAATTGTTCCCTCCACCGGGAGTTCGACCAGGGGGTGGGGCCGGTGGCAGCAGTGGCAGGTGGCTGGGGGAAGGAAGGCGCCCCCAGCCGGCAGCAGCTAGGGACCCTACCCGTGCACGAATTTTGTGCACTGGGCCTCTAGTACCTTATAAATTGGGAGGGAGGGCCGTGTGCAGCTTTAAAAACATCCTAAGGCCTTTGGATTATCCAAGAGGAGAGTAAAGGTATTATTTTAGACTTTTAAATAGAATAATGACCTTAAATTGAGTGTATTACTCCAAATAAGTTGAGATAGATAAAAGACATAACACACACACACACACCCCCAAAAGAAGCTTCTTCTTTAACTTTTTGGCATTTTAATCTTTTTTTTGTTGTCTGCCATTCTTATTTATGATAGTTTTTTATAATTTCTCATTGTGAGTTTATCTTTAAAGAGTCCTTTTCTTATGAGAATGCTTCAGGCTTTTACAGAAATGCCTCTCCAGGTTGGTTTTATGTTTGTTGCTGCCAGGCATTCCAGATACACCTTGTCTGGGATCTCTTTGGGGAGGAAGTGGGGGTAGGGGGATCAATTTCTAGATTTTGAGAGTCCAGCAAAACATAAGTGCTTTGGTGAAATTCAGGTCTGGGGTTTCAAAATTTCGTCAGAATTAAATCTTTTCTTTTCATGCAGAAACGAGTCGAGCGTCCTCCTCTGCTTGTCCACTGGGCGCGCTGTATTGTCCCTCCTCCGCCTTCAGGAAAGGACGCTCTCTTTCGGGGACAACGGCCTTTGGTAGGATATTCAGTTTCGGCTCAGATTTTGGGTTACTCCAAACCCCGACCATCCGCCCCCGCACTTCCAGGCCTCGGCTTGTGGAGACCAACCGCCGCTGCCACACCTGCGATGGCCGACCACCCTGGTTTGCCTGGGACGTGGCTTTTCGGGGAAATGGGGGTTTTTCAGCGCTCAAGTCAGGAAAGTTGGTCACCCTGCACTCCAGCCCTCATATCCGGGGCCGGGGGAGACCCAGTGAAAAAGGCCACTGCTCTGGCTTTCATCCTAACTTCTTGCATCTCAGGATTTCACTTCATTTTTTATGGGTTAAGGGCATATTAAAATGAAGGTCGATGGTTATTGTACCCGATCGTGCGCGGTGCTGGTGGTGACACAGCTGTGCAGGCTCCCGAAGTCCGCCGTTCTGCCGTCTCACAGGGAACAGTGTCGCGCCTTCCATTCGCACAAAAGTGAAGCTTGAAGGTAACAGTCTTGGTCAGTTACCCGCTATGGGGACCGGCGATCAGACCGGTTCCCAGAGTTGAGATCTGCTCCCCCGACCACCCCACAGCTCGCCCTGCTCTCGGCACTGTCTCCCTGACCCCGAGAATGTTCTAGAATCCTCTCGGCAGGCCTCGCTGCTTCTCGGAAGGCCTGGAAGATAAACTCTCCCTTACAATTTAAACTCCCAACGGGAATATATATATATATATACACATACACATGCCCGTTTTGTTAACTCCTGCATCTGTGATACCTGGTAAGTGCAGGCACTTCAATAACGCCTCTTTAAAAAAAGAACATCCCGAATGGCCTGACAAAGCTGGTTATTTTTCCTAATCTAATCTAATCCAATCTACAATTTGACAGAAAGGCGTCCATGTTTCATTTCTTTTTACTTTTTGTCCCCTATTCTGCTTAGACGTGTTTCTATTTTCTACTTCTGTAGGCATTTCCATTGATCTAGGGACCAGCGATAGGGATAATCGTGACGGACGAATCCCCTGCATTCAGGACGCCATTTTGAAATTAGAGCCCAGAACATATTAAAATGTCTTTTTCAATTTTAACATATATTTGAATGTGCATAATAAATTCAAGTGGGCTCCGAAGGTGCTTTCGTGGTGAAGTGGAGTCTGTGGGTCAGTCCGTCTGTCTGTCTATCTTAGGGCGGCGCCTCCCGGCTGCACATTGCCCTCGGCCCGCGCGCATCCCC